AGTAAGTGAATTCCTTATTCCATCAATGAAAAGAATTTCCTTCATATTTCACTACATGGAATGTTATTTTCTACTTAGCCAACCATTAGTCAAACCATTATTATTTGGTATCCTATATTTTGCTGCTGTCTTCAGCATTATTAACTGACAATTCCCCTTGCCAGTGCAAGAAAGTTGATAGTCTGAATTCATATGTTATTGACAATGCACATAAATATCATACTAACATGAATCATTGTGGGACATAGACCTTCCATTTCTACCAGTCTGAGAGACTTCCCTTAACTTCTGCCCTTTCAGCCTCGAACCTGTTCCGCTAACTTGTTCATGACTATTGATCATAAGTGTCTCTGTGATGCATCATTTTTATATTCACATGGGCATGGCTGACTGACTAGCATTTTTTTGCCTGTGCCTAGTTGCCCATGGTAAAGTGGTGGTGAACTGCCGCCTTGAACCACAGCAGTTCATGTACTGCAGGTTGACCCACAATGCCCTGAGGGAGGCAAATACAGGATTTTGACACAGCAACTTAACATCAACATTTTGAAGGCTTTTGCTATCAGTGGGCGCAATGTACTCCTGTCAGCTCTTCTTTCGTTCCTCTTTATCACTTTTTAGAATTAAACAAGGCTTGTTAAACGCAATCCTTGCAGAAATCTATATTGACTACTTTTTATCTTTATTATTTGATCTTTCAGCCATACTCTAGTGTCGTTCAGACTACTGCTGGTCTGTTTTAGTTTCCTGGATTAATTCTGTAACTTTTTTTTGAAGATAAAAGTTATATTTTTGTATGCCAGACTTCCTTTACTACTTGAACTTTTGTACATGGATGCTGTCCAGCCACCTCTTTAGATTTTTGATCAGCCACTGGTACAATCCTTCGAGATATGGAATTTTGCTCTTAAGCCTGGTTCATTTATCTAATACCTCTCATTCATTCTATCTTCTCCATTGTAATGTTCCTCTTACTGTTGTCATCCTTCTTTATTCCTGTTGTCTTTTTTTGTTTTTGTTCTTGTATACACAAGTTTCTTTTCATGCTTTAGTGCTTTCATTTGTATTTTCTTTGTTTTCTATTTGTTTTTCTATAATCTGTTCATATTCCCTAGTTAGCTTCTCTTCCTGATTATAGACTTTGTGCATGCCTTTTTGTTTGGATTTAGTTTTTTTAATTCTCATCTCTTTATGGCTAATTTGCTCATTTTTAGTGGAATAGATTTTAGCATGTATCATGGGGATGGTCTTTTTATGGTTTTTAAGGTTGCATATTATCTTAATTAATATTTTCCAGTTTAGTATCAAAATGTGTTTTTCAAACTTCATCATTGCTAATGTTTGACTTCTGTCTAGAATTATGGTAAATTATGAAAAACTGAAGTCCCGCATCAGTGAGATTGTTGACAGCAAGCGAAGATTGGAAGAAGAATTGAAGAAACAAGCAGCTGTTTATCGAGAAACTGACAAAAGAATGAACAGCATTAAACCTGACCTGATTCAATTAAGAAAGACAAGAGACCAGTACCTTTCGTAAGCAAAGTACTTATTTAAAGAGCATTAAACACTGGAAATGTTCTGGTCAGGCAGCACTTCTGGAAAGAGAAACTTAAATATTGATTCTACTTCTCTTTCCAATGCTGCTGTCTGACATGCTGAGTATCTCAAGATCTTCTTTATTTCGTTTTGATTTCAGAATTAAAGCATTTTGCAGTGTTTTGTATTTGACTTTTAAGCCAGTATTTATGACAATCAATAAAACAGGATTGTGATAGCATTTCAAATAAGATGAGAAAATGATTCTTGGGTTCGTAATGTTTAGATAAAAATCTTAGCATCAATTTTTGAGCTCCTCATGGCTCAACTGCATCACTTAGTCTGGAAATTAAATCCATCACTATTGCATTCTGTTCTTCACCTGTATAAATAAACAATAAGCTAATTCTAGACAATACTTCTTAAATGCATGGATTTTTTTTTTACTGTGATGATGGAGACATGTACAGTCATAACTAATTTGGGTGAAGAAATAAGACCCCTAAAGTTAGAATGGAGATTCAGAACAGTCTTCCAAGTCCCAGAAAGTGCACTTAAGTTCAACAAAACTCCCAGTAATATCATTTTTCAAATTTTTTTGAAGGTGGTTGACACAGAAGGGTGTTCGACAAAAGAAGATCAATGAGTGGCTTGGAATTAAGAATGAGAATGCTGAAGAGTAAGTGAACAACTAATTTCTAATAGTGTAACATTTCATGTTTTGTTGTCTTTATTATTGAAAACATTTAAATTTCTTTTAGCCAATACTCTATGGTGGACGATGATGAAGATCTACCCCATCACGATGAACGAACGTGGAATGTAGGAAATATCAACAGGATTCGGGCAGAGAGCTTACTGAGAGGAAAACGGGATGGAACATTCCTAGTCAGAGAGAGCAGCAAACCAGGCTGTTATGCTTGCTCAGTCGTGTATGTATACTTATCTTTTGCAACAGATATGCTAGAAATTTAAAGCTAAATCTTCACATGTATAAAGCAACTTAATATCCAAACTAGTCTAAAACAAAATGTTTCTCATACTACTTTTTTGTAGTATGTTTTTTAGATTAGCTCATAAGTGAGCATGCAACCATTTTACACATATCAAGATTACAATTTTTTAAAAAAATCATGGTTTAAGTAGTAGATGGCATGGGGCTTCAATTTAACATTCAGCTTGTGTCCTAGGGGTATGGCTTGAAACCACAACTTTGTTTTTTTATTTGTTCATGGATGTGGCTGAGCCAGCAGTTAATGCCTATCCATAATTGTCCTTGAAGCTGGTGAACCATCTCCTTCAAACACTGCAATACTTGGTGTGTAGGTACACCCACCATGTTGTTAGGAAAGAATTTCCAGGGTTGTGACCCAGCTGCAGGGAAGCTACAGCGATTGCCCAGGCCTTTGAACAGAACTTGCAGATATTGGTGTTCCCATGTATCTGTGCTGTTGTCCTTCTAGGTTAGACGATGAAGATCTACCCCATCACGATGAACGAGCATGGAATGTAGGTAGAAGTCACTGGTTTAGAAGGTATTGACGGGGAATAGAATTCTACCAATTGATCCAAGATGGCAATTTTTGACCAACGATTTGACCAAATTCCCTGTGATGACAATTTCTGACCATTATTAGCCCGATACCTTGTTTTTATTCTTTTCTAAAACCTGTGCCTGACTTTTCTTCTCCCAGATTTTTACCATTACCTCATCAATGTAATTTCTTTTATGTGAACACAGACTTTCAAGCAACTTTTTCATCTGTGGTCAATTGTTTAGTCTGAAGTTGCACCCTTTCTCAAAGCAATATCACGACTCCCCTTGTTAGAGAATATTTCTCATCTCTTTAGTGCACCATTGTATAAAAGCAAAATACTGTAATAGTCTGCAATGCTGCCTAAGCTAAGAAATGTTATTTTCTGTTTTTAAAAAATTGGAAATATTTTATATCTTGCCTTAAAGAAACTCCATTTATTTGCTAATATTTCTGTTGCAATTCAGTGTTAATGGTGTCGCTTTCTTTCTTTGTAGGGTTGATGGTGATGTAAAACACTGTGTCATAAACAAAACCCCCACAGGATATGGATTTGCAGAGCCATACAATTTGTATAACTCACTTAGAGAACTGGTGCTACATTATCAGCACACGTCGCTTGTACAGCATAATGACTCCCTCAATGTCACACTAGCCTATCCAGTATACGCTAATCAGAGAAGATGAGAGCTAAACACCTTGGTTTTTGATTGCTGGACTTGAGGTCATTGAAAAGGCTCATACTCCTTTGCTCTGATTCAGTTTGACTCCTATTCAGAAGACAGTATGCAAAGCGAACTTGAGCTTTCCACAGATTTAACTGGGAGAAGTAAACATGTGGAGCTGTGAATGTAAAATCCTGAAGTGCTTTTTAAGAAAGCACAAGTTAATTGAGAATGGCAAAACTATCTCCTTGTTGGGGATGTTGGGGCCTATTTTTATTGGTGCTTGTTTACGTTCTTCAAGATGATGATTTACCAGCTGGAATGTCGGATACTGCAAATCCCAGGGATATTACAAAAGAAACCTGAAGAAGGAACATTGAAATGTTAATTGTATCTATTGGAGATGTGTTTCTTTGATCCGAACTGAGGAAATGTATCAAAAAGGAATGACTGGTTTGAGAAGTAAATGAGGACTTTATTAAGTAAAGCAAACTGGCACTTTGGAAATCTACCAGAATTAAGATGAGAAAGGGAATGCTTTGTTTGGTAGGTGAAGGAATTGGATCACCGTAACAAAGTGCCAGATTTGTAGAGTTCAGGCATTTCAGCCTGCTTTATAAAACTGTTAAAACCTGGAGAAAAAGACTTCAATAAAAAATGGCACACAGTATGTAAAATCATTGTATATAATACGTAAGGATTATGACACTCTGGGAGAGTCAATCAAGGAAAATGGTATCAGCCTAACATACCGGACTTTGCATTTTGTGTTTTCCTATTTTAAAGCTGATGTTTTTCCAGATATTGCTATGCAGGGCTGCATATTGTATATTTTCAAAGAAAAACATACCCACGATATAAGCTTTGTTTTGTTGCCAATAAGTGTTGTCAGTTGTTATAAATCTTCTGTTAGGTGTTTTTAAAACACCAAAGCCGCCTGTGAATGCAACGTCTAAAGTTGGAAGGGGAGGGAGCACAAACCGATGCATTTTGAATCTTTATTAATGCAACCTGAGTAGCATATTTGGCTGTAATGAGCCAAGAATTAAACAAAAATTTCAAACTTGTTTCAGAGATTCTTCATTAAATGGCAATGATTTTTCAGCTATTTCAAAAGTACGTTTTAGCTATGTTTCTTTTTAGTCAGTGCAACCTTTTTTTATTACAATGTATCCAGGAAACACTAAAGAAAATGTTTGAGAAGGTGTCAAACACCTATAGCCAGGCCAGGAGTTAATATTTTTAGTGTCTGTAATGCTACCTTGCAGCAGGTTAAAAACTGGAGCTATTCATCTTCCTCTGATTCAATCCTTCCTACAATTTTCAGGCTTTTGAAACCCAAACTGATAATGATCTAATTGCTGTTTTCTAATTTTCCTCATCTTTGTTTTCAGTTTTGCCATTGTCCTGTACTGATGGGCCTTAGCCCTTTGTTTAGTACCTCAATTATAGAAAAAAAAATCATGGTTTGTAAAGGATGTAATTGTAACCCTGCAACAGAACTTCTGGTGGCCATGCTAGTGGAAAATGACACAGTTGATGTTAAAATCCCTTATCTTAGAACTTGTTTCATTAATATAGTTTATTGTTTCACACAACTCCAAAAGCTCAAGCGTTTTGTAACTAGGTGTATGTTTTCAGACTTCAGAAAAAAAACACCAAAATACCCCCACAGACACAGCTAAATATTTAGCTGCATAATGTGGCTCAATAGCACAGATTGGGTGAAGCACTGCCCTTCTGAATTAAACAAAATCATGAATTGTCAATGCTGTAACTCAGCTTGTAAGTTTTGCTATTCTAGTTTGAGGAGCTAGAGTGTACCTCATTTTTCTTCAACTTTACTGTGAAGATTTTATTTACAAATAAGTTATTTGCCACTTACAAAGCACATTCGGATCATCTAGCTGCAGGGTAATATAGACTGCAGTTATAAAATTAGGTCATGGTAACCTTGCTGCCGCACCACTGAACGAGATTGAGAGAATTCGTGCATTAAACAGGAACGTTGAGAGTTGGGATGGGGAGTAAAATAAATTAGTGATTGCAGGAAAAACATAATTGGTTTCATAAATGAATACTTTGTGGATAATCCTACGTGAAACTGAAAAAAAGTGCTTTACCATGAAGTATATAACTATTGAAATCTGCACGTCACAACTTAATGTGGACTTCCATAACTATGCAACTTGAATTGTCTTAGAATGTGAATCTAACCCTGCTAAGAGACAATCAAGTGAAATTTAAGAGATAGTAGGAACTGCCGATGCTGCAGAATCTGAGATAACCAGGTGTAGAGCTGGATGAACACAGCAGGCCGAGCAGAAAAGCTGACGTTTCGGGTCTGGACCCCTCTT